CTATTTTTGTATAATTTTTATACTATTATTTCCTCACTATTTTCTCTCTTGAATATTACTTAAGTTGGACGAGTTGGTGCATGGAATTGTGCATGAAAAATCTCACACGCACGGTTATTTTAAAGGAGGTGAAACCGAGGTCAACTTGGGGTGAAAGGAGGTGATTGATGATGCATTTTCCCCCAATGCCAAGTGTTTCAATAGTGGGTTGAAGTGTGGCATGTTTGGCTTAGTCATTGCCGAGGTGGCGGCCATGCACGGGCTTAGTCATCGCCCGTGCGTGCGTGGTGCGCCGTGTGTGCAAGCAAGGAGGTAAATCATCACCCCACTTGCACACCCAACTTCATCCTTTTACATTTCCTCACGGCTCAACAATTACTTGGGATTTGGGGTGGCTTAACTTGATCATTGTGCTTAGTGTTGCATAAGCATGCGCTTAGCGCCTAATGGCGCGCGCTGCATGTGCTACGCGTAGCGATGCGCGCTACGCGCGTTCGCGTGTGCGGCTGAACGCACGGCTTGCGTGCATGAATACATGAACGTGCACATACTTAGTGCAATTCATGACTTAGCCTAGTTTTGACTTAGAACTTAATTCCGAACATGCTGAATTATCAATAATTAATCCCGATGAATGATGTTTGTTTATAAAATAAACGATTCGGAAATTAATTATCGAATTTAACTCGGTTAATAACTAACCGGATAACTTTTCGACTTAACGTCGAACGTATTTGCTGAAAATGAACGGAATCGATAAAAGATAATACATCGCTTGTATTAACAAAAGGTTGGGTTATTACAAACTGCCCTTTCCCCCAAGAAGTCCGATAAAGGTACACCTTTTGCTTTAGTCGTTGAAACATGTTTAGCGATGTTATCTACCAGTACCTGGTGTGTAGATACAGGGGCCACTGATCATGTCTGCAATTCATTGCAGTGGTTCCTGGAAACCAAGCGACTTAGGGAAGGAGATGTTACCATCTACTTGGGTGATGCTACTAGAGCGTCAGCAGTTGCAGTGGGAGACTGTCTATTTACATTTTGGCTTAGATAGGTTTTTAGTTTTGAAGAATTGTCTTTATGTTCCTTGTTTTAGAAAGAATTTGATTTCAGTTTCTAAGTTGTTTATGAACGGTTTTTCCGCTACGTTTGATAATAAAGTTGTTATTCGTTTTGGCAAAAAGTTCATATGTTCTGGTTCATTAGTTGGCAATCTATACATTATAAAATCTAAGTCATCTCCACTGCAACAGAAACAATTATTTAATTCATCATCTAATCTGAATAAGAGAAAGGAACCTTCTAAAATGAATGAAACATATCTTTGGCATCTAAGACTTGGTCATATTAACCTTAGGAGGATTCAATGGTTGGCAGCAGACGGGCCCTTGTGGTCGTTTGAAGTCGAGGCTTTTCCAACTTGTGAGTCTTGCCTGGAAGGTAAAATGACTAAGAGGGTTTTTAGTTCAAAGGGGCATAGAGCCGAAGATGTGTTAGGGCTAGTTCATTCCGATCTATGTGGTCCTATGAGTATTCAAGCGAGAGGTGGTTTTGAGTACTTCGTTACGTTCATCGATGATTACTCTAGATATGGGTACATTTTCCTTCTGCACCGCAAGTCTGAATGCTTTGAGAAGTTCTTGGAGTATAAGGAAGTTGTGGAGAAGCAGTTAGGAAAAAGTATCAAGTCATTACGATTCGATCGTGGTGGCGAATATCTCTCGAATGAAATTAGGAACTACTTGACGGATAATGGGATTACGTCCCAGGTGACTGTGCCTGGCATGCCTCAGCAGAATGGCGTAGCAGAATGGAGGAACAAGTTTCTTATGGAAATGGTTAGGGCAATGATGAGTTATAGTACATTACCAGATTCGTTTTGGGGATATGCCTTAGAAACAGCGGTATACATTCTGAATAGAGTATCTTCTAAATCAGTACTGTCTACACCATTGGAGTTGTGGTCTGGGCATATGCCTAGTCTAACGCATCTCAGGATTTGGGGTAGTCCAGCACATGTGCTGAGAACCGATACTGATAAGTTGGAACCGAGATCAGAAGTAAGGTTGTTTGTGGGATATCCCAAGGAAACGAAAGGTGGTCTATTTTATAGTCCCGAGGACCAGAAAGTAATCATTAGCACGAATGCTAGGTTCTTGGAAGAAGACTATGTCTTAGATCATAAACCCAGTAGCAGACATGTTCTTGAGGAGTTAAAAGGAGTGAGTACTTCAATACCGAGTGCGCTAGATGTTACACCACAAAGTACTGCAACATGTATCGCTGATGATGCACTTGAGCAGGTAGTACCTCGTCGTAGTGGGAGGGTTGTCCGGTAGCCCGAACGGTTCATGGGTCTGGAAGACTCTTCTGAGGCCGTCCCGGACGTTCTTGAATCCGACCCATGGACATACAATGAGGCACTCCAAGATCGGGACGCAGAGTCTTGGCAAAAGGCGATGAAATCTAAAATAGAGTCAATGGACACTAATCAGGTCTGAGATCTTGTAGAGCCACCCAATGGTGTTCGTGCCATTGGATGCAAGTGGGTCTATAAGAGAAAGAGAGGAGCAGATGGGAAGGTTGAGACCTTCAAAGCTAGGCTTGTTGCGAAAGGGTACACTCAGAAAGAAGGGATCGATTATGAGGAAACCTTTTCGCCGATAGCCATGCTCAAATCCATCAGGATTCTCTTGGCTGTGGCCGCAAGACCGCTTTTCTTAACGGGAATTTGGACGAGGACATCTATATGCAGCAACCAGAAGGATTCATTGCAAAGGGCCAAGAGCATCTGGTCTGCAAGCTGAAGATGTTGTCAGACGTAAAGGTATGGTTATCCAAGCAGTTTGATATGAAGGATTTGGGTGAAGTAGGACATGTTCTCGGAATCAAGGTCATTCACGACCGAGAAAAGAGAAAGTTGTGCCTATCCCAATCCACATACATAGACATTGTCCTAAAGCATTTCAACATGCAGGATTCCAAGAAAGGGGATTTACCCTTTCGGCATGGAATACCTCTATCTAAGAGGATGTCCCCGAAGACGCCTCAAGAGATAGAGGACATGAAGGAAGTTCCTTATGCATCGGCAGTAAAAAGCCTCATGTATGCTATGTTGTGCACGCAACCTGATATCTGTTATGCCGTGGGCATGGTGACAAGATATCAGAGTAATCCAGGACTGGAACATTGGTCTGCGGTAAAGCATATACTCAAGTACCTACGTAGGACTAAGGAGTACATGTTGATTTACCAGACAGATGAATTGATTCCATTGGGTTACACCGATTCTGACTTCCAGGCAGACCGGGACGAAAGCAAGTCAACCTCAGGGTTTGTTTTTACTTTAAGAGGAGGAGCCATAGTATGGAGGAGTGTCAAGCAGAAATGTGTGGCGGACTCAACCATGGAGGCTGAGTATGTAGCAGACTCAGAGGCAGCGAAAGAAGCTGTCTGGCTCAGGAATTTTCTCCTCGACCTTGATGTGGTACCGAGTTTGCCCGCTGCGATTACAGTGTTCTGTGATAACAGCGGAGCAGTAACAAATTCGAAGGAGCCACGGACTCATAGAGCGAGTGAACACATAGAGCGCAAGTACCACCTGATACGAGAAATCGTTGGACGAGGAGAAGTCGTTGTTGCCAAGATACAATCAGAGGACAACCTAGCAGATCCTTTTACGAAGAGCCTACCGGCGAAAGTCTTTACAAGACACGTAGAAGGAATGGGAGTCAGATGTTAGGGCGACATAGTAGACTAGTCTTTAAGAATTAGATTGAAATAAATTGTGGTTATTTTGTTTATCCATGAGCTTATAAAGCATAAGTGGGAGATTGTTAGAGGTATGCTGTAAAAGCTATGTTTTGCAGATTCTATCAATTCCATTTTGATCTGGCCATCATGTTTTGGTCAAAGTACATATGTTTGCAGTTTATTTATTTATGCAATACATACTCCATGTCTTATATTGAGGTAATGTGGTTCGAAGTGTTTCAAACAGAAAGATCACCTATCGGTTCCTTATAAGACTAAATCATTCGTTCACAGTCTAGACTGACAGTGAGACCCCACATGGAAAAAGACTGTAGTGTATTCTTGATTCAGTTGGTCTTTGACTGGAGAATTACACTAGCACTATGTTAAGTGTTGAACAGGACCACGAAAGGAAAAGGTTATGAGACTCATTGATCGTAGTTGTAACCTCGTCCTTCAGTGATTGATGCGTTCTCTTAAGTCGTAAGATAATATAAAATAGGCATATATTTTTATTTCTTATTTATTTCATTTACCAAGTGATTCCTATTTTATTAGGATGACATACGAGGTATTTTGGTAAGTAAGAATAATTATATGATGTGCTATTATAAATTATTTATAGTCACTAAGTTTCAGTGCGCTGGATTGATGACGTCCCTGAAATGAGCTCAGGAATGTACGTTATGTTAAACCCTGCAGGTAGACGATTGTCTGACATAATGGTTAAGGATCTGAGTGGTACTAATTTTGGAAATGAATAAGAAGTTGATTAATTATTTTGTCAGTAATTTAATTAATCAACGGACGTTATATCTTAAACATAGTTAGGTAAATCGATCAATCGGATTATATTATTTAATCATGGAGGCTCAATTTTATTTGTAAAATAGTGGCTAAATGGGGAGAGCAATAATATTACTCTAGTGGGATGTTTTATTATTTAATTCCATTAAATAGGAACTAATTTTATTTCATATTAATTAATTAATTAGGAGAATAAAATTCCTACTATAATCTTCTTTTGGGATTAGTAGACTTGGGAGTCTTCTAGAAGATGGAGATTAGTAGGAAATATATTTCCTACATTATATTATTAATTGGAGTGAAATTAGGTTTCCTAAATTAGGAATTAATTCTATTCCATGATTATTAATTTAATTAGGAAAGGTATTCCTACTAGGATCCTCTCTAGTGTTAGGAGACTAAGGTGTCTTCTAGAAGAGATAGATTAGTAAGAGATCTCCTTCCTACATTAAGTTAGTATTGGATTAGAATTAGAATTCCTAGACCTAATGGGATAAGCCCATATTTAGCACCTCCTTAAGGTCCCTAATGGAGCCTATAAATACACCATGTCCCAACCTCTCCTACATAGATGTGTTGGCCG